CATACTGGTTGTAGCTCTACACTTGAATACATGGTGGACGTGCCATTTGTTCCGACTGAAAGTACTTGTGTTTCCTCTGCCAGGACTTTTTTATGCCTGGATCCGTTAACCTCCTTAAAGAATGAGTCACTATTTTCTGTGGGACGTGTAAAGATGGCAGTGTTCAGCGCTGGCATTGCTGCTCTCCTGCTGTCAGGGAGTCAGCTGTCTTACACCAGATGAAGATGCATGTTGTCCTAAGAAAGTCGCAATATATTTCAAACATGTTACAATTATCACGTAAAGACTAATGATGTCTGTTGAAAATTCCCAACATTTATCTTAAATGAACGATATTTTTCTGTATGTAGGCTGAGCTAAAATGCCATCCAATATTATTCTGCAACAGAGTATATATGATTCGCCTTGTTATAGAAACTTAAAGGTCTTAAAGATATCTCATGAGTTTATTTTGTCACTGAAACATTCTGCTTTGGATTTATGTGTTAGGTTCGTTTCACAGATGGTTTCTAAACTCACAGTAACATAGTGCAAGCTGGTTATTTTTTTATTTTATTTTAAAGAGCTCTTCAATAATCAAATTTCACCTTCAATTAAACTGCAAAACCCTTCCCTTGCCACCCACCTTCGCTGCTTGCCGTCACAATATCTCAACTAGTTCTCTAGGAATGAGTTGAACGCAGCCAAGTTCCTTGCAGATTTACTGCTTCTTACTGCTCATTTTTCTTTTGTGAGTGTAAGGTATTCTTTTTATACATGTATTAGAAGAAAGTATTGTTCCAGCTAGAGTTGGAGGGTTTAATTAAGAGGGAAGGTCTCCCAGCATGCCCGCTAGATGATCAGGGCTGAGTTGGTGTATTTCCCTGTGGGAGATCATTCCACAATTAAAACTCCACTCCTGTCAGTGCTTATTGCTGAGACTGAGGGCTATTATCCTACCAAGTCTTAGAGACTGTAGCAGTGATCGAAACCAGGACAAGGGGTATGTGCACTTGCAAGGCATTGCAGAAGGCTTTCCTAAACTGTAAAAGAAATTCTTGCGTATCATGATGCTGATGTACATCTGGGGAAATTTTTCTTTTGTTTGCCAGTCAAGTGATATTTAGAAGGCAAAAATCTCCTTTTTTTGACTAAAGTTTCAAAATTGAAATACAGTCAATGAAAAATTAACTCTAACACAGGGAGTGCTTTTGGAAAGTTTGCAAATACATGTAAAATAAAGGTTTTCCAATGATAAAGGATATATATTAGCCAAAACTTGGGTATATCCTAGTGTTATGACAACAGAATGTCAACTGACGTGCTTTTACCCTTACTTCTAGACATTAAGGTATTGTTTTCTCATTGTTTGATCTATTTTAGTCCTAAGGGAGTGGAGCATCTGCCTTATGAGGAAAGGCTGAGGGAGCTGGGTCTCTTTAGCTTGGAGAAGAGGAGACTGAGGGGGGACCTCATTAATATTTATAAACATGTAAAGGGTGACTGTCATGAGGATGGAGCCAGGCTCTTCTTACTGGCATCCAATGATAGGACAAGGGGAAATGGATATAAGCTGGAACATAGGAGGTTCCACTTAAACATGAGGAAGAACTTCTTCCCAGTAAGGGTAACAGAACACCGGAACAGGCTGCCCAGAGAGATTGTGGAGTCTCCTTCTCTGGAGATGTTCAAAACCCGCCTGGACGCGTTCTTGTGTGATCTGATCTAGGTGGTCCTGCTCTGGCAGGGGGATTGGACTAGATGATCCTTTGAGGTCCCTTCCAATCTCTAACATTCTGTGATTCTGTGATTCTGTGAAATCAGTGATCCCGTGCAGTCCTTTTTGGGGACACCTCTCACATTTGAAAAAAAAAGGTGATGCCTTAGGTTATATTTAAAGTGACACTCTCTATGAACCGGCTAGTAGTGGATTTTCAAGCTTAAAGGAAAAATAGTCACAGACATTAGTTGCTTTATTTAATTTACTTTCTATTAGGATAAAAAGATCTATCTAACAGTGACATAGGAAAGTCTCAATTCATTCAGTTTTCAGAGGTGAAAAAAAACAGAGGGAAAGGAAGGTTTAACTTTGTGAAATGTCAACAGTTGAATTTTGGCAGCATAGCTTTTTGTTCCATTTTAGTCAGAACATTACATATAGGCAGATACAAATGAAAAAAAAGTGTCTTACAATTTTATTCTACTTCAACGTGGAAAAGAAATGTCTTGCATTTTGTGGATTGTGGTCAATTAAATGTTCTTCTCCTGAAACTGAATTCTGGAGCACCTTGAAGTCATATTGCATTTTACCTCAATCCACAACAGAGATTCCATCTTTCCCAGTTTTTCCCAGAGATTCCATTTTTCCCAACAATGGTGACACTGGGTAAAGGTCCTGAGATTGTAAAATGTGTTACATCTGATGGGATGTGCTGTCCCGAGTTCCAGATCTTTAGCCAAGTCTTTGCTCTGTCTTGTTTTTCTGTGAGATCTTGAACAAGTCTTATGTGTCCAAGCCCTACTTCAATGTCTCCACTTCACTGAGGTGGGACAGATAAAGCTGAGGTAGAGTGTGCACGTGTCCAGAAGTAGGAGATATCTCCATTGCACTACCTGTTAGAGCTATACAGAAGAGCACATCGCATGTGATATTGCACTTTATTTATTGCTCAGAAAGCAAAAGAGGGGAAGATCAGGAGTCTGTGTTTCCTGAGCCAGCTCCACTTGGTGCACAGTAGTGGAGATTTGAGCAGGTGACTCCCAAACTGCTCCTTGCTTTCTGCTGAAAAAGCTATGGAGTTAGTGGGTTGGCTACAGGATGGTTTGGTACTCTTCCATGAAGAATTCTCGTCTAGGAAAGTGAAATTTCATACATAAAAATCCTCATCTCTATATAAAAATATAACAAACAGACGTAACAATATATAAATCTGCTTAACTTATAAAACAGACTCTAAGAACATCTGCTGTATTTCAACTAATCCTACCTTTACCCTTCTGCTACTTAATACATCTATATGCTGTAGTGATAGGGAACCAAGGAATTTGCCATTTTCTTCCTCCATGCTCGCTTCATTGCGATGGCTGAGAGAATTCTGAGGGGGGAGGGGGAAATAAATAAATGAAAGCAAGATGAAGGCAACTATTTTTTACATGAAATCCAAACTTCTTTGGCAAATCTTCTTTTCCTTCAAACACAGCAAAGTTCCACGTCTTCATTTGGCACAACTCATCCAAGCTTTAGCAATTGTAGTGAACCTACACTGCCTTCCACCAGAAGAGCTGACCTGAAATGTTGCGAAATGATCTTGGCTAAGGCTCAGCCATGAAGACTTTCTGGGAGAAAGGCTTAACTATTTAGTCTAAATTCCAGTTTCTAACCTAGAGGGACACAAAGAAATGTTTGACTGCAGCGGGTGGTTGAAATTCCAAATCATATTATCTTTTTCAGCATGCTTTAAACTTCAGAACAATTTTGATCGGTTACTTTAATTGTAATTAAAAAAAAAATATTTCTTTAAAATTAATCCAACAATTTTGAGCCAAATCCGGTTTTTTAGAAGAGGCTATGTGATAAGGGGAAAAAACAAAACTGAAGGCTCAGTATTGCTTTAGATCTGTGTTATTTATGTGACAACTGTCGCAGTCATGGTTCTACCAGGCAGAGCAGAGTGACTGTAAGGGCTGTGGCCCCATCTTTCTTTCCTTTAGCACCTGTAGGTATGATCAATTTAGTCCATTGTTATCCCACACACTTTGCAGACATACTTTGCCCTGATTTGCCACTTAGTTTGGACCTGTGCCAGCCTTGACAGTGCTCTGTTGTGTTTCATATTTGGATTGGCAGATACCTTTCCACATTGTGCTCACACTCACTACGAGGAGATCCGGCTCCAACAAACACTTCCACGCCTGATTTATTATTTGCCCATGCGTAATACTGTTAAAATCATCAGGTCTGTGTCTGTCCTTATGTGTAAAGTTCTTACAGATTCTACTCTCTGTAGTTCCTAAAGCCCTTTTGAAATATTTTAGTGTGTCAAGAAAGCAGTGAGTCAACATTAGCAAAACATCTCAAATTCTGGGATGTTCCTTTCCTCTGGTGAGGAGGAAAGAGAAAGAAGTGTTTACATCAAATGGCATTCCAAAAATCTGCAAGACAGCGGTCATTGGTCTTTTGATGGTTCGTCTTTGTAAGATATTGTCACGAGGGACATTTATTTTCAGATTTACATTCCTATGCAGAATGGGGGTATTGTAATGCAATTACCTTGCTGTTCCCAGTTCAGTTTGAGAAAGAACTATCCTTTGACTGCTTCAAGGCTGAATAAAAACTATTATGGAAAATTCTTATGAAAGAACAGAAAATATTACCCTTTTACTAGGCTTTTTGAATCCTTCTAAATTCAGAATGTAGTTAAATGGTATCTCTGTCGGAGAACAGCTTAAAATAACCTGCAGAAAAGATAACATTTTAACTGAAGAATATAGTTTAACAGATATTTCTATGGAAACTCTTATATTTCTATAGAATATCCTTATGAGCTCTTTTAAATTCTGTAAGACTTTTCCATTTGTTGACACTGCATGTCTATAAAGGATTGTCAGAGAGTTCTCAAAGGACAGAAGGCAAACATTCACTTACGAATATGTGGATTTAGCATCCAGAAATATGAAGTAATGCAACAGAAATTTCAAGAATAAGATAGAAGCAATGAGTAGACCCTAACAAGTGAGTAAATAGCTGAAGTATGACAAATAGTTTTGCATAAATAAATTCAAGGAGAGAGGGGGAGATAACAGTGATAGATAATGGGATAGATGTGCAAAAAGATTCATGAGGGATGTATTTTTAGAAGGGAAGGTAGTATGCCTGCTATTCATGCATATTTAAGCGAGTAGTTGATTGCTCACCAAACTGCTCGGCTTTACTCCAACTGATGGTGTTTGGAATGTGTAATGAAGGCAGAGGTGGTCATGGTTCTTCCTTCTCTTTATTTATGTGTGCTTTTTAATTTCAGAATGCCTATGTCAACATCAATCGGATCATGTCCGTTGCATCGCGGCTTTCCGAGGCAGGCCATTATGCTTCCCAGCAAATTAAACAAATATCAAGCCAGCTGGATCAAGAGTGGAAGAGTTTTGCTGCAGCTCTGGATGAGCGCAGCACCATCTTAGCCATGTCTGCTGTCTTTCACCAGAAAGCTGAACAGGTGAGCTGCTTTTATAACTGGCAAAATGATTCACTGCTGCTTTGGTAGTGGCGATGTTGCAATACTACCTGTTCGCTTTTGGCTTATATGCACTGAGATTAAGAGCCTTGTTCCTAGTGGATCAGTGTCTCAAAACCAAATAGTAACATTTCCTCCAAAAAACTGGCACATGTTCTCTGAGTGGGTAAGAAAATCTGTGTACACTTTAATGGTGAGAAAGAGTCTGATCATAACTGAAGTGCACTGGTGCAGTAGCATACTGCTTTGTTTCTGTTGCCTAATTTTTCATCAGTGCTGTGGATAAATTCAAGATTATTATGGTCAGGAAAATAGTATGTATCTGCACTTATATGTATATATGATATGTGCTATGTACACAGGAATACTCACACATATGACATAGACCAATAGCGGCAGACAATTTCTAGGAGCCAAAACACATTACTGTTAATGAAACTTATGGAATTCATTCCACCACCTGCTTTTGCAGTGCTTTCCATAGCCCCAAACTTTGTTAAACCTTACTAAGTAGAGACTTCAGAGACAGCTAGGGACGTCTAAGAAAAATTTCCATGTCCCTGAACTCTGGTTTCTGTCTTTAACTACCAGAATTCTTCCATAATTTCATAGCTGCAAAAGATTTAAAATATGTCAGTGAACAAACCTTCTGCTTTTTTTACACCTAAGCCAGGTCCATGGTTCAGCTTTCATCATATGTTGATTACATTCGTTTTCCAGTGACAAACACTACCTTGGGGCTCTCTTCAATACTTTTGTGTGCTTGTTTTTCAAAGTAGTTAATATCAAAACTACTAAGTGAGTGTGCTTGATGTTTGTAAAATGACCCACACTTCAAGTGTCTGAAGAAGAAATTATAACTGATAAGCCAGAAACTGCTGCATAAGCCAGAATATATGTATGGAAAAGTTTAGCTCGAACAGTAAAAATGTCTTTATTGTTTGTTTCTGACCATAGAAATTACAATGTTTTTTTCTTTATTTTGGGTTTCTTTCCTATTGACAACAGGCCATAGCATAGAGCAATTACTCACCCTACTGGGCACTTACTCATGTAAGAACACTCAGTGGCTCTGATGGGACGGATACACCGAGAAGATGCCTAGTGCAAGCACTTCCATCTCTGTACAATGGGCATTGCAGTGTTTAGGTGTAGTCTTCATGTTAATAATTTTCAGTCATCATATGTTCATAAAAAAAAATCAAAAAATAATTTATATCAAGTCTATAGTCACAATGAGGATGTTTAAGATTTATTAATTAATTAGTTCTTCCTTGTTTGTTTTGCTTTGTTTAGTGTTTGAGTTTGTGGGGGTTTTGCCTTTTTTTTTTTTTTTTACAAGCAATCCCCTGTTTTTCTGAAGTGTCAGTCTTGTTTGCAATTTATGAGGAGTTGCTGAGGTATTGTACAGCGTGAAAGGCAGTAAAACAGAAAGCTGTATTGAACTGTCAAACTAGAGGTGACTTGATTATTTTTTTTTGTCTTCCTGCCTTTTGAACATTGTCAAAGTGGGTATTTTGCCTCAGCCTTTACTTGGAAAGAAGCTACATTAATGTTACTTTCAGCTTTGTGTCTCTTTTCTTTATAATGGTGTGGATGGGTCTGAAAAACCTAGTCCTGCCTTGGCATCTCTGCATAAAGAAATGAAGTTTGTACTGCCTGACAGAAGTCAGTCTCATTACTAAGCAGACAGGAGAATTTGCTAATTGTGAACAGCAGTTGCTCCTCACTTGCAATAAGAGATAATTCAGTGGAAGGTAAATGCTGATGTGAAACCTGTAAACTCAGACTGTTGCAAAACAGTAATGTGGGAGTCGGTGTGTCCGTCAGCCAGGACTAAAATTTCAGCCTTACTTTAGTAGCTCTGGTAGGATAAACCAATGACTTGAATGCTAATAATTTAGTGATTTGAACTCTGTATAGTATAAAGAGTGAAGTGTTTGAGATTTGGTCTATAACTCAGTTTGCTGTCTATGAAACGTTCATTCCAAATGTGAATCTTCATTATTTGCCATCACCCAGGGTTGTTTTTTTTTAAACTCAAATCAAGGCTTTAGTGTTTTACGATAAATAAGGCTTAAATCTCTGAAGCAAAGATGTAGATAAACCCACTATTTCCTCTGTCGCAGATCAAATCTTTTTTCACTCCCTTTGTTCTGTCAGTAAAGGTAATCTTGTTGCGGATCCAACCATTTGTCCCACAGTCTACCTCTGCTTCCGTCATACCGATGTGATACGCAGATTGTCTTTCCTTCTCCAGTGCGATAAGCTGCTACAGTCTCTTTGTTCATTCCTTCCTATTGATTAAAGTTCCCTGCAATGCCAACAGGAAGCAAGTCTATTAGGACCATAATCTCTCAGCTTTTGGCACATCCCAGCCTTCAAGGAAGTTGTTGGCTTGGGACAGAGATTTATGAAAAGCTCTACGATGTCTATAATACGCAAGCTGAGCAGGAAGCAACTTGTTTTTCAAGGTCTCTTCCTAACGACCCCACACAGAAAATAGCACAGAATACAGTTTGTCTGGCTTGGAAGGATGAAAGGCTGAGTCAACCCTGCTGGGAATTGAACCTCACATCTGTCTTCACGTGCCTTAGAATCACATTGCTTTCCTGGCTCTTGTTGCAGATACATGTGGCGTGTTGAATGGGACTCGGCTGAATGAGTTCCTGGATCAAAGCTTTTTTTTTGCTCCCCCCCCTTTGTTTCTTTCTTTTTCTTCTTCTTTTTTTTTTTTGTGTGTGTATGCGTGAACGTGTGTGTCTTCCTTAAGTTTTTTAAACACAATGTGAACATGCTGAATCATCATCAAGAAAAAAACAAAGAAAAGAAAGAGGAAAAAAAGGTAAAAAAAGAAAGAAAGAAAAGACAAATCTTGCCAATTTAGTCTCCAGCAGGCTTCCTTCAGCACAGGTATTTGATCAAAAGCCAGTAAATGAAACTCCAAACAACCACTATGTTGAGGTCAAGGTGCAACTCAGGGTATTCAGTGGAGGTGTTTCCCAAATGTCCCTTAATTCCACCTGCTACAAATCTCTTGCTTGGTGGTTTTTTAGTTCTTTTGTCTTCCCCAGGCTCTTTCTCATGCTAGCATGGAGATATTCTAGTGCAAAAGAGAATCTGCGTCTGTATCTTTAGGTATGTCTGCAGCTATTGAAAATTGCAAGGAGAACATGCCTCACATCACTGTGATTTCAAGACAACTGTGATGATTTACTCCAGATGGGATTCCAGCCCACTAACTGCCAGATGGGGGAAGCAGACATACCAGTCGTCCTCCCTTTCTTGGTTGTAATCTGTGAAAGTGTGCTAAAGTACTCATAACATGTTCAGTCTAGAGATTCTATCAGAATGAACAAATTAATGTCTTCAATCAGCCAAGAGATCTCAACCATTTAATTCTCAGAAGTGCACAAGCAGGGTTATTATTTGAGGTAGTAGGTGTTAGGTGCACGTGCCAGACGTTTATGCTCATCCTCTGAAAACTGACCCCAGACCATTTGTTTCGTATTACCTCACTCCCCAACCAGGAAGACTACTGTTCTCATCTCTTATCTCTGCCTGGATCTCTCTAAGCATATCCTGAACTCCCCTATTTGAGGAAAGGAAATGAAAAAGTGTGGAAAAGATGAAAGGGAGGAATAATTTGAGGAAAGGAAAAGCCAGTTGATATCTATAAGATGCAGGGATAAGACCAAGGTAACTTCTGCATTAGATAGAGAAATTCCAGAAACAATAACAGGAAATATACAATTAGCTTCATACAAAAAATTCAGGGCATCAAGAGATATTATAGGTCACTGAGGAAAGCAGTTTCTTGACCTTCTTCCCATCTTTCCCCACAGCCATTGTGGAGCATGAAAGTATACTAGAGTTTGGTTTTAATTTCTTGAGGGCCTAGGAGAACCACCCTGGTTATTCTGCAGCTTCCGTGCAGAGGCCTCACAAGCAGTAAGCCAGGACTGTGCAAAAAAACATGGAGAAATATGGACTACAAAATGTCTGAGCTGTGTTTTGGAGGAACCATGTGACACATCATAGCAGTCCCTGTGGAAAACTAGTAAGAAGTGGTCTTAGAATACTTTATTACCTAATACAGAATTTGCAACTTAGGTGAATAGGTTGTGAGTCAGGAGTAAGTGTAGGTCATTACTTTAAAGTTACTTTTGGATTGGATCAGAGGCACAAAGGTATCTTAAGGATTTTTTTATTTTTTAGGAGAAATTTTTCTTAATCTTTCCTGAAATCTTGAAAAACACGGACACTTGTTGGAGCCTGTCCTTCAAATCATATTTAAGCAGCTTTTATGTTCCCAATAGGTGCTATTGTTATCTGTGGGCTAACTAGAAATTTAGGCAATTATTTTGAATGATATTGAGTATCCAGTGGCCAGTAACAGCTCCTGTTCTAAGCTAACAGCAATTTACAATGTTAAATGCATCTTTTTTCAACTCAGTCAAATGGTGATTTTGTGATATGAATATGTTTCTAGCATGAACAGTTACATTTAATATTTTTTTTGTCTGCCACAGTGCGTGACAAATAATAAAAATTAACATAGCTGCTTTTTTTCAAAATACCCAAATCAATAGTCCTATGATACGAACTAAGACTTTGCAAAAATCTTTAAAAAAACATTTGCTCTCCCTATGTGAATCCAACCACACAGCACAGACCACTAGGCATTATTTCAGGTTATCAGAGTGAAATGCTGACGGGCTACATTTCTTAAAACTTTTTAAAGCAGATGATGTCAACTGCTCCTGCTAGTGGCAGAAGTAAAATTACTGATGTAATTGCTGACGTAACAGTGTCTATATACAATAGATACACAAAAGAAAAAGAGATGTGAGACAACAAAGTGGAAATGTGGCTGTGTGCATAGGATCTTCCTGAGACTTCTTCCACCTAACGTGCAAATCACAGTCTGGGGATAAGGTGATATATGAGTAACACGACTATAAGAGCTTGTATTAAAATTGGTAGAATTCAGCAGTTTTGATAAGAGCCATAAGAGTGTGATTCCAGCAGCAGGAGCACTGGTCTGTGAGGTGTAAAGGTCTTTTGTTCACTGTTTCAACCAAGAAGTTCATGTAACAGCCCCAAAAGCGATTGATCTCAGCTCCGTGCTCTTAAAACTGCATAGGAAATGATGTGAATTCCACTACCTTGGCACAAAACGTGATGACTTCAGCTTTATGCAAGTGTGTTTGGGGATTTCATCTGAAGAGACTCAGCAGATCAAACCAACACAAGAGAACCTGCCATCCTTGCCTCCAGTCTTCTAGAAAGCACAGTTTTCACTGGTAGATTTGTACTTTGTAGACATGAACGTTTAGGAATTCATCTTTGTCACTTAATCTTTGCGCACTGAAAGGAAGTGTTTACAATGCAAACACTTTATAGCCTTGATTACACAGCAGCATGGTGAATAGCTTTACACTGCTAATAAAAAAGGATGCTGATGCCAGAGCTGGAGTTGAATTGAAATTCTTTGCTTTGAATCTCGCAGCCCTTCATGCTGTGAGTGAGCACTTTCCTAACAAGCCACAGGTGAACACTTCAGGAGTGGATAAAGCTGTGATCCTGGGGATGGTTTTGTGGCATTATACAGTCACCCTACAGGGCACTGCATCTGTTGTGTAATTAGCTGTTCTTTTTTATAAATAGCCCCTAACTATGGCAGGCTGGTTTAACAGAAAGATGAAGGAAGAGAAAATATTAATGAGAAGTAATGAGGTGGCACTAGGCAGTTAGTATGGACGAAATATGAACATGTGAGCTGTGTCACTGAGGTAAGCACTGCTTAAAAGAAAAACAGGAGGGGAACCTTAGAGTCTAAATTCCTCTTTTCTTTTATGGAACAGGCAGCACCCAAGGGAGCATCCCAAATTTGTTCTGTCAAAGTGCATCAGCACTGCTCTGGAGGCCTTTAAGAATGGAAGAATATTTTTTTTCCATCCCTCTGCTCCCCGAAGCCATTCAGTTTCTGGCTGTCTGTTACGGCTTCCAACCAAGGTGCTAAACCGTATCAGTTGCAATGGCAATGATTTTTTTCTCCCTTTTCATGGATGTCTGCCCACCAGGAACTGGACTGGGACTAGCAGCTCATTTTGTGTTGGCTGCTTAGCAGCTGTCAGATGGTAATGGTATCTGATCACTGCTGACCTGGGCCAGAATCAAATTGTGACCCAGGGGTTTAAAGCCTTGCTATCCTATTAGCAATCCCACTGAGCTGGCCCTGGGTTGGGAACTGCTTGAATACAGACTATCTGCCTTTCGCCGAAATGAATGTCAGCACTCATTTTAATGGGAGTTTTCTGTTGCTGAGATCAGTAGTGTTAAGGACAGGTAAGCGACTGAGGGAAGATTGACAGCTGAGACAATGCCAAAGACAGCTGGAGCTGTAACTGTGTCTTTTTGTGCTTCACGCTGATGGTTTTCTCTAAACATGTCACAGCCTCCCCTTTTGGAATGCAACGTTGTAGCCTCCCTGCATGGTATGCAAAGAGTCTTAGAATGGGTGTTTTCTGAGGCTGGTTAAAGGAGCATTTGTTTTTAATCCAGAAGAAACAGAAAACATTCCTTTGGATCTAGGTATTCTTCAGGTACTGAGGAGGTGACAGGAATGTGCTGCTCCGGGGTGCCCCAAAGGACTCCTTTATAACTGTTATGTTTTCCTCAGTCCTTGCTGCAGTCATGTGTGGCACTCTTCAAACAAAGTTTTCGAATGTTGATGAGCTACTGTTCTGTATCGCTGTTGCTGATGGTTCCTGGAATTGTTTCAGTTCCTTTCAGGTGTGGATGCCTGGTGCAAAATGTGCAGTGAAGGAGGCCTCCCCTCAGAAATGCAAGACCTGGAACTGGCCATCCATCATCATCAGACTCTGTATGAACAAGTAACACAGGCCTACACAGAGGTATGTGCTTCCCAGAGAAGAATGTCAGTATCTGTTAAGTGATAACAGATATTTGACTACATTTTGGAGTTTAGCTTTTCTAAATAAGATAGGTTCTGCTTTCCATTTCTGCCACTTTTTCAGAGAGAGAGTCGGATCTAATCCCAGACTGTTAGAGGTGACTCCCAGCAAACTGCTTGTAAGGGCACAACAAGACAAATCCCATACAGAGAGATGGATCCCATACAGAAATGAAATCTAGAACTAGTGTTGGCATCCCAAAGAAGAGTTGCTTCACTGTCTTTGCTGAACAGGGAACCCTTTAAGCCACCAGTAGCGTTACTCTGTTCTTTCCTTCTGTGGATGAGTCCTGGCTCTAGCATAGGTATGCTAATGGGAACAGAGAATGCCAAAGACTTTTTCCTTCAATATACATGCTCACAGAGATGTCAAGTCCTCATTAGAATGAATGCTGCAAAAGGCTGTGCTTTAGTTAGAACATAGAATCATTTAGCTTGGAAAAGACCCTTAAGATCATCACTTCCTGCCGTTAACCTAACATGACCAAGTCCACCACTAAACCATGTCCCTAACTGCCACATCAGATATATTTATATATACGTTGTTAAATATCTCAGACTTAAATAGAGTATGTGGGTTTTTTTCCTTTAAAAGAGTATGCCAAGGATGCTAAGACTAAAACAGAATCTGTGGCGTTTTGTCAAAAAAACCCCATAAAATTCTTCACTTGCTTTTTATCCCATCCAGGCTGCAGCATGAAGTAAAAGCTACCAACAAACAGCCAACATTCAGTGCACCCAACTGTGCAGGCCGGGGTCTGTGTTCAGTCCACTTCATGTTGCACGAGGACTGCAGGACCTCCCTGGCATCTGGGAGGAGTCCTTTTAGGAATGGTGCTAGTCTAGATGTTCACCCCAGGCATGGGCTGACCTGCAAATTAACCCAGGGATGGGAAGCTGTGTACTTTATCCATTCTATTCTGTTATTCATGTCTCCGGGACTCAAGCTTGTTGGAAAGTAATCCACAGATCACCTGAATGCTTGGATTTAGTTGTATTTTTCATGTCCCTGTACTGTTCTGTGCTTGACTTTCTTTCTGGATATCAAAGGATTTTGCTCCTTGCAGGGCTTTCTGAGCTGGACAGGAGGGCTGTGGGTAGTGCTTGCTATGCTTAGTAAGTTACCAAGTGAAGACTCCAGAACAGAACAACTCTCCTCCATGCTGTGGTCATCGTGTTCTTGGAAGAATCTGTAGTATAAAGTAGAATAGAAAAGGATTTGCTTATCTAGGCTTGGTGGTAGGCACTCACGCGTACACAGTGAAGCTGTGCAGGTACTTTAATGATGAATGTAAGGAATGTTTCATAGAAACCTCTTATTTTCTGAACACCTGAAAAAATTTGGGAGTTAGTTAATTAGAATGAGCAAGGCTGGGTTGCGATCACAAAGGGCAATTCCTTACGCAGTACTCAGGCTTCTCAAAAACAGCGGGTTGTGTGAAGAAACAGAACAGTCCTGTTGACCTCTAGTTGCAACTGTGAATTTTATACATGTGCTCAGTCAGGTGAAAATAAGTTTTTTTGATTGCATTTAAAAATTATTTCTAAAAATTAACTCAATTTGGGACTGAATAAAAAATTGTAATGTTTGAAAGTGGCATTTTGTTTATCAGCCTCAATCTTAGTTTTTGTGAAATGAAAATTCATTTAAAACTCATGACCAGAATCAACCTTTAACATGCATATTGCTCTTGCTGATGCTTCCTCAGAAAGCTATAACTTGTCACAGACACAGCTGTTTGAAACATTTCTATATTGTTTTACTGATAAGTATATTTTTAAACAGTATGTAGAATTGCCAGAAAGATTACAGTTTGTTATTTCGGAAGTGTTCATCCCTTTTCCCACAGCTACATGGTAAGCTGAAAAGCCTGGATTAGACTTCGGAGTCTTGCCTCCTCCTGTCCACATGCCTATTTCTCCAGTCTATATAATGCCACTCGCCCATAGAAAATAATGTGTCTTCCCTCAGAGCTCTCTATGGTGGGATGAAAACTGTAGCTTTTCCCTTCCTTTCTTTTCCTGCAGAGTCATTAAAAATCAACGTTTTTATTTCTATAATCCAAAGAGACTTGGAATAGAATGAACATTCCTCGGAATAACCATTTTATATGCGTATCTAATAGGATATTAATTAACATTTAATAAGATACATGGGCCTATTCTGTTCTATTACAGAGTGTAACAAAGCAGTTCAGATTCACTGCAGGAATCTAAGACGAGATTCCCAAAGAATCTCAGGGATACTCTTTTTTTCCATCTTGCCATGGCTGTAGCCATAATTATTTGCCTTCTTTCCTTTATTGCACTTGAGTGAAGCTCAAAAATAGTAGAGGCAGAGATCATGGGCCTGATACTCAGTCCACAGCTACGCAGTCCTCCCCTGCACTACGCCAAGCTGCTGGCAGAACAGGCCTTCCTTCTTCTGGGAATCAAGTAATGCTCTTGCTTTTACTTTGGGTAAAAGTAAAAGTTTGAGTGCTAGAGTGAGGAGATAGACAAGATGTATGCCTTTGGCAAATTCCTCTCTTGCAAAAAAAAGTTCTTCTAGATGTCTTTAGCCAGGGTGTGTTTATGTTGCTCCACCAGTGTTTCTAGTGGATGAACAGCAGGAGACAAACTTGGGACACCCCTACTGAGGACTGTACTGATTTGGTAAAGACAAGAAGAGAGAGAGAAAGGTTTTCTCCAGTCAGGCTTGAGCCTGGTTGATAGTAAGAGCATCGTGTTCACTGTGACTTGATTAAGTGCATTTTACTGTCTATTTCCAGAGGTATGATATATTTGCTCTAAAGACCTTTTTTTTTTCAGAGTGCAAATTGTAGCTGTTTCATAGATGGCACCATTGGTCTAGTCACTTAGAAGGCATTGGAGATCTTTCTGACCCACTATATAGGATATCTACAGATTTTAACTTATTCCCTAGCTATGTATACAGCATCTGTGGAGATTATTCCAGTAGCACAACAAAATAATTTTTTTTGGTTCACCCAAGGTCACATAACTTCCTACAGAAGGATTTGCCCATCCTAGCCCTTCTCCTACTATGAAGCCAAAATGCGGGAGTATCATCATATGACAGGAGTGTATATGCGTGTTGTGTCAAGTGGTGAGTTAAACCTTCCTAGAGAGTCCAGCAGCAATTCTGTACTTTTCAAATTAAGTGAGAAATGGTCAGATTTGCTTTGACAGACGCAGCACTGGCAGTTACACCTTACAGGGACTGCATACCATGCTGGGTGCAGGTCCGTTCAGTTTAAGACTTTTGCAAAAGTTCTTACAAACACATTGTAAGTGAGATGTAAGTGAAGCGATGCAACTAAGCTGAGTTGCTAATGCTTGTCTCCTTGCACAGTCCTTGAAAAATTCAAAAGATTAAGATGAAAAAAGATTTTGTGATTTATTTTTGCAGTTATAAGGAGAACATGGAAATGACTGAAAGCACAGTAGGTAGCTTCTCCATTTGTGAATTTGTTCCTTTCTGAAATCTGTTCATTGGTGAACCCTTAAGAGTGCAAACCTCCTGTGCCCATTCATTGGGAATGCAGTATTATTCCCAACAAAAATGCTTTCAGAGAAGAAACTTTTTAAGCCAAACAACTTGAGAGCTGCAGAAGATATGAAATCCTGAAATATGTATGTAATCCTTGCAAATACTGAGTACAACTGATTACCTGATTGTTACTGTGCTGCTTGCTATATATTTAGTCCAGCATGACCAGAAAAGCCTGTAAATTAGGGAGCAGGAGAACACTTCTAATAGCCTCTGTTTTGTGTTAATGATTATTAGCATCACAACACAAGCACTTGAAGTCTGGTGTGTATGTCTGGCTGTGCCTATCAGGGAAAAATCATAATTTGTAATTTCTGAGGCTTTTTAGAGAGACAACAGGAACAAATTATCGTGCAATAGATAAAAGCCTAAATCCTACAGAAGAAAAAGG